AAGTATGCATAATCAGACTGTTAATTCCCGATCTGGTGAGGGGGTAAATAAAACACCAGCAACTACGTATAAGTGAAAATGTGGTGATGAGTTTTATTTCCTATAAGGATTTACAAAATTATGTCATATAAATTACGATAAATTAAATACTCACACTTTCGTGTGTTTCCCTCTATTTCCAGATCGCAAATGGCTTAGTGCTCCTAGATTTCTGTCGCACATCGATAACTAGTTGCCATTTATCGATCAGGGATAGGGGTGGTACATTGATAAAAGGTTAATATCGAAATAATATTACACAGGGCTTACATAAAAGGACGGTATTACCCAAGGTTCACATCAAAAACAATATTACACAGAGTTTATATGAAAGCCAACACAAACCTTTAATCAGCTCTTGAAGCGACGCCAACGCCAATGCAACGCCAAAGTTGTATGTGGACGGGCCTTTAGTATTTATTGGGAAATACTGAGTAGGTATCGAAAAAAGTACTCGTTTCGAAACCCGATACCAAGTTAAATTTTGCTTCGAAGTTTCTTCGTCTATGTTTATGCCTAATATGAATCGCCCCGTGCATTTTGGCAACTTAATTGCGAAAACCGCGAGAAGGCGCCAAAGTCGACATAATGCAAGGTATACACGATCCAATTGCTTCACCAAAGTCGACGGTTTCCAACGTATATACGGACAATTGTTCGAGTGCTAGTGTGAAGTGGATGAATGTTCAGTACAGACTAGAGATGGGCAAGGGCCGGGCTTTTGGCTTGCGTAAGCCCGCGGGTACGGGCCGGAATATATGCTGTCAGCACGAACTCGTGCGTGCATGGGCGTTTTTGTTATAATATTAGAGAAATTCAAATAGAAGAAATTCAAACGCACTAAAACCAATTTAAATATAACATGTACCATTTCCTGGTACCAACGCCATTTGCAAATTCAAAAAAGTACTAAAATAAAACAACTCTACTGTTAAGTTTTTCGCGTGAATGCGTAAATTCTGCCGCATAAACGTAGTATATTATAATTCGAGGTGTAAACATTAGCGGGCAAAAATAAAGGTAGGGGCAAATCTATGTTATTGAAGAAAAGAAATAAAGAAAAAGAGTTGATTTCAAAATACAAAAAAAATCTTAGAAAACACTAAAATATTCAACGTATTCTAAGCTTAGAAAAATTAAACGCTATCTTCGAATCTAGTCTGTAGAATAATAATAATAATAATAATAAATTGGCGCTTACACATATGTTAGTGTTTGGCCGATTTGTGGCGTGCGCCTTGATGTTGTCACACAAAGCGGAGGGCGGTTGTATTTTTATGAGAAGCTGTTTTTCATGGCAGAAATACACTCGGAGGTTTGCCATTGCCTGCCGAGGAACGACCGCTGTTAAGAAAAAACCTTTTTTCTATATTTTTTTGCGATGTTGCTTTGACCAGGGTTTGACCCAGGTGCTGCGGAGTGGAAGCGCGCACTGCTTACCACTACACCACAGTGGCCGACTGTAGAATATATATATATATATATATTAGAGTTCAAAAAAACACTCTTTTTGGAAATTCATAAACGCTACATCAAAATATTGTTATTTGTGAGAAAAAGAGACCTACATCAAATTATTGTTATTTGGGAGAGAAAGGGACACGTATTTATTTTTATTTTGAAAAAAAAAAAATATTTCTGGAGGTCGCGCTACACTCTACAAAGTGCATGTAAAACTACTACTGAAAAGTGTTTATTTTTCAACCAGAATATGTTCAAGTATACGCACAAGATGTTCAAGATTTGATTTTGAACATGAGTTGTTTAAAATATACACATGAAATGTTTAAAATTACAAACATTTTGAAAGTAAAAATATATTTTTTACAAATAATAAATACTAAGTGCCAGGTTCGCACGCAGGAATATATTTTTGGGGGGAAAGGGTTTATACTTCTCGCTCTTTAAAATACATTTATGAAAGTTTTATTTACAGTATGAAATAAATAAATAAACTTTTTAAAGTATCATCAATTGCATTTTATTTACATAAAATTTACAAAGAACTCAGACATTTTTAACCGGCTTCAAAAAAGGGGAGGTTATCAATTCTTCGGAGTATTTTTACTTCTTTTATTTATTCCACCGCATAACTTTGCACCACGTGAACCGATTCCAATAACTATTTTTTTTACCGGAAAGATGCTACCTTAAGGCTATCTGCACACTTGTCGTCCAATCATAGTTGCGTTATCGTCTCGCCCTGAAATTTTGAGCCGAGCACATGCATTTCAAAGGAGATCTGCACACTTGTCGTTATCGGCTAGTTATCGGCAAATCGTAGAAGATGCAGAAACGGATAAGTACGGCACTGTCGTTTGCTAATCGTTGTGCACGCATTGTTTGTTTACATTTTATGGGGGAAAATTAGTGAAAAAGTTAATATTTGCATTAAAATTGTATAAAAATTAGTATTTTTTTGCATAAAATCTGTGGAAATTATTAAAAAGTGGATAATTGCATTAAAATTTAATAAATATGAGCGTTTTAACTATAAAATATGACGAAATTGTATTAAGTCTCTGTGTGCATACACAAAACACATTCCAGGAAAAGAAAAGAAGAGATATTACTGGAAAATTACGTCTAGAAATGTTGCAGCACAGTCTATATTTAAAAAATTGCAGGTTTTTGTAAATATTTCGCGAAAATATCAACAAAAAAAAACAGAAAATACCTGCTCCAAGTGAATTTTTAGACGCCAAATGAATTGAAATATCACGACCAAGTGTGCAGAAGTGTAATCGTCATGTAATCGTTGCTTCATGACGATAACTATGACTCAACTATGATTGGACGACCAATGAGCAGAAAGCCTAAGGGTCGTGTTGATGCGGCTGTAGCAGTGTGTTTGTACCCTTAGGTTGATGCGGCTGTAACAGTGTGTTTGTACCTTTATGTCATTGTATTTTATCGAAAAGTGTTGTAATCCCATCACTAACCATAATCAAAACCAAAAGAACGTAGAAAGGTTCTAGAAGGAAATTGATTGTGGTCCTGGTGATGGGAGCTTAGGAGCGCACAAAAGCGTAAGTTGATTTATTTATGATTTAAAAACTATTATATCTTTATTGTACAAATTGAACAGGAAATAAAGCACAATTCATGTCAGCATACACATCAAAATTGGCGTGAGCTTTATTTTATACTCCTCGGACCAGGACGCAATCAACAATCTTTATTTCGCTTTTTTATGGGTTGGCGAACAACCAGAGTTTTGCCGCATTACAAGCTTAATATTTTAATAGTTCGTCTTAATGCCTGAAAGTTGTGGCTAGTAATAAGTAAGCGATTTGAGAGCGCACCGTTTTGTATGTACATGCGCTAAATTCCTTCAAGATCGGATAAAATTGAATCGAAATTGATCGGAGCACGTGCCATAAACCAAGTAAGCTGCAGATCGAGGTGTGGCTGTGATCAAACCAAGGAAGCTAATTGGTAAGTGTCTTAAAGAACTGATTGGGTGAGAGTTAGTAGTTAGTGGTGTGCGTCGTAGTGTGGTATAGAACATAACCTAGCGAAATCGCGCCAAAATTGTAAAAAGCGCGGCTAAAAATCTCTTTCGAATATTCGTGGCGACCATTTTGTATCATGCCGACAACACGTTCCGGGGCAAGTAAAGAGGCTAGTGTGAATGAAGGAGATAGCGATAACGAAGAGTTTGAAGAAACGATTCTTCAGCAGCCTACAGCAAATATGGCTGGGCAACAATCGCTCGAAATTCGGCTAACTGAGATTTTGCGGCAAGTTCAAAGCATTCAAGAAGAGCTTCGGCAAAGTAGGCAGGTACAGGCGAATGCGGCTAATGATAATGGAATTATTACAACAGCATCCAGCGTAGTAGGTCATTCGCAAGGTAGTTCACAACTAGGATTAACACGCATGCTATATGATTTGCCAGAGTTTGAAGGGCGTCCAGAGGACTGGCCCATGTTTAGGGAAACCTTTTTAATGACCACTGCAGAGTACCAATATACTGATACACAGAATATGATTCGGTTACAAAAGGCAGTTAAAGGAAAGGCTAGGGAAACTATCGAGTGTCTGTTAATCCATAGTAGGAACGTGTCGCAAATTATGAAGGTTTTGCAGGAGCGTTTTGGGAAGCCGGAATTGCTGGTAAAGAGTCAGATAAATAAAATAAGAAATGTGGCGCCGATCTCAGAGAGTCGCATCGAACAGCTTGTGGGATTTGCGACTAAGGTGCAAAATCTGTCTTCGTTCCTGCAGGCAGCTGATTGCGACCACCACTTGTCTAATCCGACGCTAATGGAAGAACTCCTGTTGAAGCTGCCCATACAGAGACGCATCGAATGGGCACGTTACGCTTCGTCAATTGTACCGCGACCAACAATCTGCCATTTTAGTGATTGGTTACAGGAGTTGTCATCAATGGTGAACTCGGCCTGCGTATACTCTAGCTTAGAACCGCGACAAAATAGACCCGAAGGGCGTTCAAGATTTTTCCACGCCAACGAGGCTAGTGGTGAAAATTCTGGGCGAATTAGGTGTGAGGCATGTGCAGATAGGCACGCGATTACTAAGTGCAGAAGATTCCTGAACATGGAGCACGGGGATAGATGGCGCCTAGTTCGTCGCAAAAAGCTTTGTTTTAATTGTCTAAAGGGAAGTCATCGCAGCAACAACTGTGGTGAAGAACATGAGTGCGGTGACAGGCACTGTACAAAAAGGTGGCATGTACTTCTTCACGAGTCCAGTGGCAGAGCACAACAGTGGCAGTCAGCGCCACCGCAGCAAGCGTCGCAGCCGACTTCGCGGTACGCGATACAGCAAACGTTGGCATCGACAGCAGAACAGGCGGTTCAGCAGAAACGGGCAGCGCAAGAAGCAGTACAGCAAGTTTTTACAAATACGGTAGCACCCAGTCCCGCCCTGAAATTGTTATTTAAGATACTTCCAGTAGCTACGCGTTCTTCGACGAAGGGTCCGCCATATCCTTAATGAACCGCGATCTGGCAACCCGCCTTGGACTGCAGGGAAGCAGTGATAACTTGACCCTGCAGTGGTTTGGCAGCACGACCGTTACGGAGCGTTCCTGTAGAGTAGACGTTCACATCTCCGGCGTTGGGCGTAACAGCAGCAAATTTCTGATGCGTGATGTTCGCACGGTTGAAAATCTTCAGTTGCCAATGCAGTCGCTTAGCCTGGCAGATCTTCATTGTAAATATCAACACTTACCGATCCTACAATATAACGATGCTGTACCAGAACTATTGATAGGTTTAGACAACGCACATCTTGGCATTCCGAAGCGAACAGCATACGACGGTAGAAGAGGACACGCAGTAGTGTTGACGAAGCTTGGATGGGTTATTTATGGCACGGCGGGCCCCCTAGCTCCTTACTCGCGGTATCACACATTGTTTGCACAAGTCGGCGAGACGGAGAATATGACCGACAACATGGAAAATCTCGTGAACGATTTCATAACTAATGAGAACATGGGCGTAAGTACGGCGAAGCAGGTCGAAGCTAAAGACTTGTTAAGAGCGAAGAAATTATTGGAAGAAACCACTAAGCGCGACGGGATTCGATTCGAAACGGGTTTGCTGTGGAAGCAAGACGACGTGGAGTTGCCGGAGAGCCGAAAGATGGCCGAAAATCGATTTTTTGCGTTAGAAAGGAAGTTCAAGAAGAACGATGACCTGAAGAAAGCATACGCTGGAATCATTTATGAATATCTGGCAAAGGGCTATTGCCGGATGCTGAGTAAGGAGGAAGCCGCAACAATAAGCAAGCGGACTTGGTACCTGCCTCACTTTGGTGTGTTTAACCCTAATAAACCAGGGAAACTTAGGCTAGTTTTTGATGCGGCGGCGGAGTCACGAGGCACTTCACTCAACTCCATGTTACTCAGTGGGCCAGACTTATCACAGTCTCTGGCAAGCGTCCTGATGAGGTTTAGACAGAAACCGGTTGGAGTGTGCGCTGATATTGTGGAAATGTTCCACCAAGTGAAGATTCGACACGAAGATTTGGCATCGCAACGCTTTTTATGGAGATTTGATCCCGGAGCGCCAATCGAAGAATACGTGATGAATGTGATGGTATTCGGAACTACTTGTTCGCCCTGCTCAGCGCAGTTCGTCAAGAATAAAAACGCAGAAGACTTTAAAGAACAGTTTCCAGAGGCTGTAGCGGCGATCGTAAACAATCATTACGTAGATGATTTTGTGCATTGTTTCTCCAGTGAGGATGAGGCCTTTACGGTGACAAATCAGGTTGTCCGCATTCATAAGCGCGGAGGTTTTGAACTAAAAAGATTCGTATCGAACTCGCAACTTATAAATAGCTTAAATGAAGAACAGTTACCATTACATTATTTAAATCTTGACAGAGAAAATGCCGAATTGTTCCAGAAGGTGCTCGGAATGTTTTGGAAAACCGAAAGAGACGTTTTCAAGTTTGTTCTATCCTTAGGGAAGGTGAATCAGGACGTGTTAAAGGAGAAGCGGAAGCCAACAAAACGAGAAGTCCTCAGTACAACGATGTCCATCTTCGATCCGTTTGGAATGGCAGCAGAATATTCCCTGGAAGCTAAGTTAATCCTGCAAGAAATTTGGCGGGAGCGGATAGATTGGGATGACAGCATATCCGACGCGGTGTACATGAGCTGGAAGAAGTGGCTTCGAATGTTACGAGATCTGGAGTGTATAAGTATACCACGCTGCTACGGAGCTACATTTGCTAAGGGACCCGTCGAACTACACGTGTTTGCGGACGCGAGCGAGGCAGCATACGCAACTGTTGCATACTGGAGACTTGTAGACGATCACGGCAATATCCGACTGGGTTTCATCGCTGGTAAAACTAAGTGTGCTCCAATTAAGCTGGTATCTGTTCCTCGTCTCGAATTGCAATCAGCAGTGCTCGCTACGCGCCTCAAAAATAGTATTATTGCAAGTCACGACAAGATCCCAAGTAGGGTTACGATGTGGTCTGACTCAAAAACAGTATTGTCTTGGTTAAAATCGGACCATCGGCGTTACAAGCCCTACGTAGCGCATCGGGTAAACGAAATTTTGGATGGCAGTGAAATTAATGAATGGCGATGGGTACCCAGCGCACTTAACCCAGCTGACTTCGGAACGCGTCCCAGAGATGGAAGGCGCGTGTCATTCTGGATCACAGGTCCGAGCTTTTTACAGCAAAACGAGAACAACTGGCCGCCAAATGCATCTTGTGAACCTACAGACGTTGAGCTGCGCAACAAATTCACGATATTAATAATTAATACTAATACTTCATTTTTTAAGAGATTTTCGTCCTTCAACCGACTGAGAAGAGTAGTTAGCTGGATGTTGCGATTTCGGGAAAACTGTCTCAAGACAAAAGCGACACGCGTTTATGACGACTTGAAGGTGTTCGAGTTGCAAAAAGCCGAAACAGTAGTCTTACGATCAACGCAGATGGAAGAGTTTGCGGATGAATACCATGCCCTGCGCATGGGCAAGCGGATAGAGAAGGGTAGCGCGTTGTGGAAGCTCAGTCCCGTTATGGATGCGGAGGGCGTCATAAGACTGGGTGGTCGAATAGACGCGGCCACCGCGATTTCATCATGTACGAGACGCCCGATAATCCTAGCTAAGCGATGCTACGTAACGGAGTTGCTGATAGATCATTACCATCGCTCCTGGAAACACCAAAACGAATCCACAATAATTGCCGAAATACGACGCAAGTACTGGATCCCTAATATAAGGGTCGAAGTGCGTCGCGCCACTAAAAGATGCCAGTTTTGCGTCAATGCAAGAGCCGTTCCAGATCAACCAGAAATGGGCCAATTGCCAGTAGACCGGCTGACACCATTCGTTAGGCCTTTCACATACACCGGCTTAGACTACATGGGACCGTTCAACGTTGTCATCGGTAGGCGAAACGAGAAGCGCTGGATCGCCCTCTTTACTTGCCTAACAACGAGAGCGATACATTTGGAAATGGCGAAGGACCTCTCCACCGACACCTGCCTGTTATGTATCAGGAACTTCATGTGTAGGCGTGGAACCCCTGTGCGTATCCGTTCGGACAACGGTACGAACCTCGTTGGTGCTGACAGGGAGCTTAAACGACAGCTTATGGAGTTTAATAATGGCAAAATAGCAAATGCGCTTGCGAATAAAAACATTGACTGGGTTTTCAATTGCCCGTTGAACCCGCACGCTGGAGGCTGCTGGGAACGTTTGGTACGCTGCGTCAAAAGAGCTATGGGTCATGCAGTACATAACGAAAGTATTCAAGAGCACGTCCTATACAGTCTCATGTGTGAGGCGGAGAACATCGTTAATTCCCGACCGTTGACACACATCCCACTAGACGCACCCACTGATGAACCGCTAACTCCCAATCATTTTCTTTTAGGTACCCCAAACGCTGAGCAAACGCCACATCCGAATGAAGAGCAGTTCCAAGCCACTCGCAAACAATGGCGTAAGGCCCAACAGATGCAATACCGATTCTGGAAGAGATGGGTAGATGAATACCTTCCTGACCTGACCAGGAGGACGAAATGGTACCAGCCAGTGAAGCCTTTGGCCGTAGGCGACGTAGTCCTCATATGCGATAGCGGTGTTCATCGAACGAAGTGGCTTATGGGGCGAATAATGGAAGTATTTCCGGGCAAAGATGAACAAGTCAGAGCTGCACGGGTCCAGACTCAGGTGGGCATCTTTAAGCGACCAGCCTGTATGTTAGCAAAACTCGAAGTTGGTGAATCTAGCTAGATTCACGGAGGCGGGGATGTTGATGCGGCTGTAAACTTTTTTAGGCTGTAAAGTGTAAGAAGCAACAGTAAGTGAGTATGCATTGCATATTTTTAGGACAATGTTTTCATTCGCAGTTAAACTTTAAAGAGCTCTC